AATGTAATGTGTGTGGACAGTGAGTAATTGAACTGCAGTCACAGGGGTATTGTTGAAGTTAACGTTCGTTCGTGATACTGTTTGTTTTAGCGCGAATATTGAGATTAAGTGTATCGCAGAGTTATATTCGGAAAGAATAAACCAGTTTTATTAAGAAAGGACTTGTGTCGCTTAAGTTTCGTCGCAACGAAGTTACAGAAAGTTAATTAACAAACGGAGACGTAACAATATTTACTCTTCTATATTTACCTTTACTATGCATATATTTTAAATATACTAATTCATAGTAATGAATTTACAATATTTTTTCACAGAAAAAATTCAATTTTTCAATGACTAGCTTACAGTGAGAAGCATAATTATTTTACTTTCTCGATTTCTTTCTATGTATTTGCATAACTTGTATTTGCTTGTTTTTGTTTTGCGTGGTGAAGACCAATTTTGTACCGAATATTTTTGCGCAAGTCACATTATCGTACGATATTGGGAAAATGGGGTGAATAGTTCGGTTATAACGTCATAAGTTACGTGAAATATGAACTGTCTTGTGACTAATTTTATAAGGAAGGTATAACGTGTATTATCGTATCACTATCAGACAGTGCTTCTTTTTTCAGGTAATATATATATAGAGATATATATATAAAATAATCACGATACTTATGTTGAAAATCACTTTAGATTAAAAAAAAAAGATTATATTAATTATTAATTTAAATAGAAAAGGGTAACTGTAACGAATAAAACAAACAAATAATATTTGTAAGTTGCACTTGTAAGTTGTAGTACTAGTAGTATGACTATGAGATTAAGGAAGAGGGATCTTAGTTCAAGGTTAATATTACACTTACAGGTACTCGTAAATTATAATTGGATGTAAAAACGTGCTTTTCGAGTCCAGTTAATGTAATGTATTTACTGCTCGATGAAAATAATCACACTCAGTGTTACGTCAGGTATACTGATTTGATGAGTAGTGTGATTGGGCGTAATTTTTTACGTTAGTTAGCGAGTTGTGGAGCTTAATCTGAAATTGCAACCAATAGTACTTAGTATAGTAAGGGTTTTAAATCAAAGTTAAAGTGAGTGTGACAACGTAAAGTTTAAGTTTTCGGCAATAATAATATAGACACAAAGCTGTTAAAGGTAAAAACCTAGTAACAATTATGATTTTTTTTATAATTTGAAATTAAATAATGAATTAACAGTGGAAAGACTGAGTAGGAAATAATAAGTAATACTAATATTATTGCTAGGTTATTAGTATTATTTGAAATGTTATTAACTGAAGCTAGGTAGTAACTAACTTGATCTTGAAAAAACGTCCTAAGGTTGATTCAGGTTAATCACATTTAAATTTTCATTTGTAATATAAAACTCAACAACTTTAATAACAGTCTAGTCTAGGAAGTAGGGATGATTATTCTGTTTGAAATTAAGTTAAAAGAACAAGCATAATCTTTTAATGGAAGTATATTTTTATCTTTGATTAGTTTTATTATAAAATGTAAATGGATCTTTTATGACTGAATGAAAGTTAGAATACTTGTTAATGAATAAGGTTTTCCAAACATAAAGACTTGTGCTCATTTTAATTGTAGTGAGAGTATAGAGACGTGTATGAACTGAAGTGAAAAAAAGGTATTGCATGACAATTAAAATATGAAAAGAAATACATGCAGTACCTAAGATAGAAAATATTTAGATCTTAGACAATGAATGTTACAGTAGTTTTATTTCTCATTTTCTGCTGTAAGAAAATGCATACTCCACTCATTACTACGTGTACTTTCTCTTCAAAATGAATGTGGTGAAAAGTTTTGATATTATTATTCTAGATTTTAAAAAGAGAGAAAAAGGTGTGAGTATCAGATAATTTTGTTTAGATATTTTTGTAATTAGACCAAATCTAACTGGCTGCTCTTAACTTCTGATTTTGAAAAGTTTTTGTAAGTCTGTGTTTATTATGGGTTTTTCTCTGATGATGTAAACATGGTGAAGTATTGCCTACACATATAAAGTTTACATTCCCACTTTTACTTTTAGCAGTTTGAATTAAAGGTGAAAGAAAGCAGTTAAGTTTATCAAGGTCACCTTTTCTCTTAGCTGTAACAATTAAATTTTAAGATTGTTAGAATGGATGATTTGCTTTCTCACTTTGTCAGTGTTTTCTACTGTTCATGGCACCATAAAGTTTTAAGAATAATAACTTACTACTTGTTACTTGTTTATTGACATATTAAACTTTCTTAAATTAACTACAACTACCACATATGAATGCAACCTGTTCCAAAGATCACCTACCTTGTTAGAGAAATAAAGCTGTTTTAGCTGAAGATGACTCCTATCCTGACAATTTATATTTATGTCCCATAGTCTTACCATTCTCACTATTAAATATGAAAAAAGATGAAGCATCAACACTATATATCAATTCCCTTAACAATATTAAACACCTCAATCAGATCTCTCTTAATTTTTTTTGAAGAGTAAACAATTTCACACATCTTAATCTGTCCTTAACCTTTCTATCCCAGGTATCATTCTAGTAGCCTTTCTTTGAACCCTTCCCAACAGTTCAGTGCCCTTTCTAAGGTAATGAGGCCAAGATAGAACACAGTACTCCAAATGCGGCCTAACCAATGACATTATAACCTCTTTAGACTTTTATTCAATAATTCTGTAGATACAATCTAAAATCCTATTTGCCTTGCCACTAGCAACAGCTCATTGCTTGGATGGCTTAAGGGACTGATTGAACCAAGACACCACGATCTTATTCCTCCGTAATGCTATTAAGACTATTTCCATCAACATTATACTCATAATTCAAATTGTGATATCACACCTATGTTACATTTCATTTATTACTAAAAGTCATCTGCTGTTTATTCATCCAAGCCACTAAATAATCCAGATCCTTTTGTAAAGCAGTAGCATCCTTCTCACAGCCAGCAACACCCAAAACTTTGTTTTCATCAGCAGATTGAAATCTATTGATCATTCCTTCATCTATGTCAGTGGTATAAATCAAAAAGCAAAGGTCGTAACTCTGATTCCTGAGATACCCATTCGTGATCTTAATCCAGTTTCACTGATTAACATTTATAACAACCTTTTGTAAAGCAGTAGCATCCTTCTCACAGCCAGCAACACCCAAAACTTTGTTTTCATCAGCAGATTGAAATCTATTGATCATTCCTTCATCTATGTCAGTGGTATAAATCAAAAAGCAAAGGTCGTAACTCTGATTCCTGAGATACCCATTCGTGATCTTAATCCAGTTTCACTGATTAACATTTATAACAACCCTCGGTTTTCTTCTATATAGCCAGTTTGCTATCCAATGAGTCAATTTATCCCCCACACCTACAGAGATAACTTTTATAACAAACTTTGTCAATTATTTTATGAAAATCCAGATACCAATTCCACACCTGCACCCTCATTTATATATAAACAATAACATCTTCAAAGAATGTTAAAAATTTAGTAAGGCAAGATTTTCCCTTAGTGAAACAATGCCGACTATCTAACAAAATTATTTATTTGTTAAATGAGTTTGCAAAGCATCTTTTATTAGACTTCAAAATCTTTTCCTATCTCTGACTTAAGACCATCAGGCCTATAATTACAAGAACAATTTTTAGCCACAACATAGTGGCTCATAGAATGGCTCAGAGTATTTTTGAAGTACAAACTTTTAGCTCATAGCTCCATCATCTCTTGACCAAGATCTAATTTATTGATGTATTTTACCATACCCAAGGTCTTATAGATTAATTTAATGTAATCCTGCATAAAAGAATTTCAATTTGAGGGTAGGCTGGTAGAGATCCTGATGAGTAATAAAATAGAATCGGGTATATGTACGCCCCATGCTTGGTAATGCTGTCACACAAAAACAGAGCTAATGAAAAGAAAAAAAAGGTCTCGTGGATTAATTTACTCTAATCCTGCCTAAATGAATTTCAAGTGCAGCAGCTGTTGAGGGTTCCTTCTTGGTGTTCAAGGACTTGGAAAAATTCTAGCAATTGGCTCATGTATACAATCCTAAGCTCTTTCAAAACCTTTGCATAAATATTATCTGGCCCATGAGCTTTATCATTCTCTAAACTTTTCAACTTTTTTTCACAATCTCAGAATTAATATGATCATCTTCTTTACTCTTGTTTCCATTTAGCAACTATTCAGGATGAGGGATATTGCTTAAATCTTTATTAGTAAAAACTGAAGAAAAATTAGAATTTAATAATCCTCTGAACCCTTCCCAATAATTATTAAGTGTCTTTTTTGAAGGTAAGGAGCCCAAGACTGAACATAATACAGGTCTAGCATAGCCTGGTAGTAAAGGTGCTTAACTCACAATCTGAGGATCTCGGGTTCAAATCCCTGTCACTGAAAATGCTTGCCATTTCAGCCATGTTAGCATTATAATGTGACAGTCGATCCCAATATTCATTAGTAAATGAGTGGCACATGACTTGGTGATGGATGGTGTTGACCAGCTGCTTTCCTCTACTCTATCACTGCTAAATTAGGGAGAGGTAATGTAGATAGCCCTCATGTAGCTTTGCACGAAATTCAAACAAACCAAACTGAACACAGTAATCCAAATATGACCTAACCAATGAATTATAGCCATCCCATAATCATGAGATTAGGAGATTGATGGGTTATTAAATTTTATCAGACTTCCTGTATCATTTCTCAAAGGCTCTACTTCTATCCTACATTTTGCTTACCCTTAATGTATTTGAAGAAATTCTTACTATTAATTTTTACATTTGTAGTCAACTTTATTCATATGGTTTTTTTTATTACCTGATTTCTTGTTTGACCAACTCTCTTGATCTTTTGTCATTTTTCAAATCTCCTATAATCGCAGTCAGTTTAAACTTATAATGCTTTTCTTTGATATTATTCATAAAACCCTTTGTGAGCCAACTGGTTTTGTAATTGTAGCCATATATTTTTGTTTATAAGGAACATGTTTATCTCGAATATTTAAGAATTTATATAAAAAAATATTCCATGTTTGATCAGCATCTCCAACTAATTCAGTTTCCCAGTTTACAGCAGATAATTCTTGTCTTCAGAATTGGCTTTTTTTTTAAATTTGGAACTAAAATCTCATTATTTATTATCACCATGTACACTAAAACAGCAAATCTAATTAAGCAATGATAACTTGCACCAAATCTCTATCCTATCAACCATTTCTTTATTAGATGTTAACAATAATTCTAAAATAGCATTGTTCCTAGCAGGTTCCCTAACAAATTGTTGATAAAACCAATCCTGAACAGTTTCTAAAAACCTGTTTCTCTCTTGATTTAACTCTAACATTTCCCAGTCTATATCCCATAATTATAACCTCATCAAGAGTTGAATTTTTTATCTTGCTGCAGAGTTTCTCATTGATTTCATCAGTTTCACCCAGTGGTTTTTAACAAATTTCAACTGTAAGCCTTTTCCCCTTTTAACTACTAACAGAAACCCAAATAAATTCGACTTCATTATTATTAGCTGTGATATCATCAACTTGAACAGACTGTAACTTACATTTTTCATATAAAATCCACTCTTTCCCTCCCTTTTTAAGTACTCTATCCTTACTAATCTATAACACCTATTTCAAAAAATTCTTGTCATCAAAACTGTCTACATGAAGCCAGGTATCAGTTATTCTCATTATATCAAAATCTTCTGTTCTATCCAGTGCTCTAGAGTCATCTATTTTATTTCTTATACTTCTAGCATTACAATAATAATAAACTACTGTTATACCTTGTTCTCAAACTATATCCCTTTCTATTTATTTTTCTTTCATTAGTTTGGCTCTAGTTTAAAGTTTGTCTTAGAGTTAAGTTAATAGCCCTTGCAAATAAGCCAGCCCCTTTCTTATTTAAATACAAGTAATATAAGATTTTGTAAATGTAAAATGATGTAGGGATAGCAGTGCCAAAAAGAATCCAAACAAGAATATAGGGATGATACAACTATACATAGATCATTTCTACCTGACTTTCAATATTAAAATTTAATCTTGCACTGTAAAATGCATAAGTACAAAATAGTTATGAGGTCAGTCAGTCCGACTGAAGTCGTAGCAAGAGTCTGTAATAGTTTCACGTCGTAAGCTG